TGCCCAGCACATCAGTCGTCCCTCTTGCTTGCTTTCCTGTTCATTCCTATTCTAGAAGGTGCATCACCTTTTCTTGGAAGCCTTCCATTGGTCTCCCAGGCTGAGATATCCTTGCTTTCCCAGGGTGAGATATCCTTCCATCAGTTGCCACAGCACCCTGTGCATACACCTGCTGTGCACTTACCAATAGTATAGAAGGGATCTATGACCCAAGTCTCTCCCCACTAGCTTCTAAGCTCCTCACAGACAGGAACCATGTTTTGTCTTTGTACTCCATGCCTAGTATATAAGAGATACTCAATAAATAAATGTTTGTCATATCAAATTGATTCCCTGTGACCTAATTCTAGAGAATGGGAAGAAGGCCTGTTCTTTTGTACCTTTATGGTTCTTTAGGAAAGCTCTCCAAGCTCGGCATTTGTCAGGGCGGGAGGGAAACTTTTTTGAAGTATTGAAGCTGGACACAGGGCTGCTAATTCATCAGCTTCTCATTGAAAAAGTCTGTAGCCAAAATCTGACTGTGCACTTACTACAGGACCATGACCTGCCTGCGTCTCCCCGTCTTTCCAGCCAGTATATTTAAAGGTAATGAGATAATGTTGAATGTTTTGAAAGATGTTTAGTGTTCAAATAGAAACCACACCCCTTCACTCTCCGCACATAGTCTAAGTAATCTCTCCCTCCCTGGTATGTGTCTGTTTTGTGGATAAGACTGTTAAATGAGTGAAGAGTTAATTTTGAAGTTCAGGTCAACTAATTCCTGTTTGGAGATGGGCTGTAAGCTCTTCGTGAATACCAGGTTGTTATCTGTCTATTACAGCCCCTTCACTTCTGGGTTCCTGGCCCTTTGCCAGGTACTTCCAAAAGCCCTAGAGGGAGGGCCATCAAATGAAAGTGGCATCACAAGGAGAAGACTTGAGGTAGAAATATACAATGGGGGACGCTGCCCCATTGCCTTTCTTCCCTTGACTGCTGGACTTCCTCTAGCAGCTTTTAACGTCTGGAAGTAGCTGAGTCTCAAGTCACTGGTGGCCTTTCCCAAGGGAGTTCAGCAGCATGTGCTGATAGGTGCCAATACTGTGCTGGCTCCAGTGGGATTCCTGTCTGCAAAGCTGCTGGCTCAGCTCGGCTGTTTCCCTATTCTTCTCCTTAGAACTTTCATAGCCAGTCAAGCATAGAATTGCATCCATTCTGAAATAGGTACTGCGCCTAATTTTTCATTGGCTTGGCCAAGATCCTACAACCTGTAATTATGTCATACAGGCTGACTGGTGTAGGTCTGATAGGCCTCACTGCCCTCCAGAGGCTAGTATTGCTATCCCAGCATGGCTGTTGGGATTAGGAGTGGAATAAGGACTAGTTTAGGACCACAAGAGATTTGGCCTCCTTGGGACATGTAGGAACGCCTCAAGGATGTAATTCTGGGCCAGGGAAGAAAATCCTTTTCAGCTGAAGCTTTCCTTCCCTTCCCCTAGGGAATGAGTCCCTACTATAGTAAACTCTTCTTAAGAGAGTTATATATTTTCTCTGTCAGATCAATTTGTTTTTCTTACTGTTGTTCCTATTTAAAAAAAAAAAACAAGGGTGGGGGGAGAAAGACATATAGTCCTGAGACCTGACAGTTTCACTTTTCCCCCCAAGTAGAAGCAATAGAAACCTTAGCAGTTCCAAGACTCCTGGCACTCACTTTTCCTCTTCATCTTTAGGTCTGACCCAGCTCAGCCCAGAGTAAAGATGTAAAAGCCTCATACATTATTTCCTCTTGCATTTTTTCTGTTTAAAGGGTCCACAGTACTTACTTTATGCCTCATCTCAACTGAGGCTGGGTCATGAGGATAGTGGGCAGTGACTGCCATTGGAGAATGCATGTACTGGATCACATAAGGACATGAAACAGTGCCTGGCTAAGCAGAACCCTTGCCACTCACGGTGTTCGATACAGTCTACCCATCTGACATGAAATGATATTCTTAATGAGCCATTCCTATGGAAGACAGCTATTGGCAGGCACACTGAGTCTCCTGGTCTCCCCCTTTTATAGCTATGTAGGGCTTGTGACGTAGAACAAATGGAAAAATATTATCAGGAGGAAGAGACTGCTGGACTCCACCAAAATGTAGGGTTTGTGCTAGGAGAGCTGGGTGCCATTTATTTCATTTAGATATATCAGATGCTCCCAGTAACAATTCCTGGTATCTCTTACCTCTTCAGTCATCCTGAATAGTCACTGCTTCTTGAGCTTTGGTGAGTGTTCTCTAAAAAAAAAAAAAGATGGAAGCTAATATTTTTAATAACAAAGGTCTGAAGAAAAGCAGCTCAGAATTTTTATTTTTCAGGTGAAATACCTTATGGTAAAGTCTATTAACTTCCGTCTAAAAGCCTAATTTGGCAGTATCTACAGACAAGCAGATAATTTCTTGACAAACTAAAGATAACCTCACACAGACCTGCCCACTACTTGTTTTCAAAAGAACTTCTGAACCCAGAGATTGGTCAGGAGCGCCCATGCAGACTTGAGTTTGAGTGTTAGCTTGCTTTGCTTTTTTGAGACAGGGTCTCACGCTGTCGCCAGGGCTGGAATGCAGTGGTACAGTCATGGCTCACTGCAGCCTCAATCTCCTGGGCTCAGGTGATCCTCCCACCTCAGCCTCTCAAGTAGGTAGGCCTACAGGCCCGTGTCTCCATGCCCAACTAATGTTATATATTTTCTGTAGAGATAGGGTTTAGCCATGTTTCCCATTCCCATTTCCTGGGCTCAAGAGATCTGCCTGCCTCGGCCTCCCAAAGTGCTGGGATTATAGGCATGAGCCATTGCACCTGGCAAGTGTGAGCTTTAATGTGGCATGTTTGGAGTGTCTTCAGGCTTTTTGCCTCCCTGTTCTGTTTGTCCTAAACATTGCAAGCCATGTCCATTGTCTGAATATCCCCTATGGAATTACAAAATTCAACTCAGATCTTTTTAGAATACAGCTCTTAATATACAATAGCAAGGCTACCTGAGCCACCAGCAAAGCACAAGCAGACTGTAGATTGCATTTGCTCTCCAGGTAATACTAACATTCTGGTGTTTCACATGTGACTCCCCCAAGGACACAGGGGCGACTGTTCTGGTGGATGAGCTGACTTTCACCCTGACCTGTTCTTGCCATTAGCATGCCCACTCCTTGAAAAGAACCTCTGTGTTCCAAACCTGGCTGTATTGATGAACTTCCCACTTGCTACTCCACCCGTCACAGCTTCTGGTCAGCTGCACTTAAATGGATTTTGAAAATGAAAGTGACCAATGGTCTGTTATGAAATGCTGTGGTGCATGAAATAAGATTATGAGCAAGCTTGAGAATTAAGAACAGAGATGCCCTAACCTGCTCCAAACAACATGTTTCACATAGTGAGAAAGGAATAGCTCATTCTTAGACTCTTCTTAAGGACATTTAAGGGCATCTTTTCCTTCCTAACGAAAACTCTGTTAGCATGTGAAAAGTCAGACCTTGGTTCTCATTCCAGTTTCACCATTTCCTGTGTGACCATGGACACATTCTTTAAACTCTCTAAACTGAGAGGATATCCCTAGCATTGTGCAATGCAGCCATCCTGCTAAACCTAATTGCCTCACCTCTGGAAGGAGGGTACCTTCTCACTAGGGTTGTGAAAATTAAGTATACGTGTAAGCTGTTCCTCACAAACCATAATATTAAACACTCAGTGAACAGCAGCTCGCAGCATCATTTTTATTATTAGTAGAAATTCTCTCAGAGCTTAACTGAAATTTAGGATTTGAACTTCAGTATGGACAAAACCAGAGTAGAGTTCTAGGCTAGATCTAGGTGTTGTGAGCAGCATTCAGATTAGAATCAACAAAGAACAACCCTCCCAGTGCTCTTCACTCCCCAAACCTGTCTAAGCCAGTGATAGCACATATGCATATGCTACCCTGTTCGGGCTGTCCACCCATGGCAGACATTGCCAGTCAGTCACACCGCTGCTTTGGCTTAGGGCTCAGGTCCTTCTCAAAACAGGGATCCTCACTACTACTACCAGTTGAGTGAATTTGGCACTTAATGGAAACCTGTTTGCCATCCTTGGTCTAAGTTTGCAAAAGACTATTTCTTTAAGTATTCTCAGGGCATCAGCCAGTCTTTTTTTCTGTAAAGTAAAAAAACATAAGGTCTCTTAGCCTCTGATTCCTCATGGTCCCACACATTGGGCAGTATTACCTTCAGTGAAAAACCAAAGGTCTGGAGGTAACGCCAGCAAGTCTTAACCTATGCAAGATGCCTTTTCTAGACTTGGCTATGGACTGATAAGGCCGTCACCAAGGGAGAGGTGACACCAGGACTCCACGGATACCTCATGGATATCTAAGGAATAATAGTTTGAGCATCTTAGTCATGTACTTGCCATGGGGTATTTGGAGACTTATCTGCCAATAGTGAGGGCTCTCTGCTTTGTCTCTGTCGATACAGGTCTTCTTTCACATTGTCACTGCAACTTGAAAATGAGGGATACAGTGATACCTATCTAGATCCTGGCTGGTGCAGGCTTCTTCATCTTCTGACAGAACAGCAGTGCTCCTTTGTGTCTCCATACTTTGCTACCATGAACACAACAATCCAGGATTGCCATAGATTTGTCCTTGACCTGCATTAAGTTGAACAGTTGGAAGACACTTAGCACAGTGCCAGCAGAAGCCCTAAAGAAAGATCTAGGTGGTAACACAGGCTGGGCACAGTTGCCTACGCCTGTAATTTCAGCACTTTGGAGGCCGAGGAAGGGGGATCACTTGAGGCCAGGATTTCAAGACCAGCCTGGCCAACATGGCAAAACCCCATCTCTACTAAAAAAAACAAAAGTTAGCCGGGTTTGGTGGCACATGCCTGTAATCCCAGCTACCTGGGAGGTTGAGGCACTAGAATCACTTGAACCCAGGTGGCAGAGGTTGCAATGAGCTGAGACTGTGCCATTGCACTTCAGCCTGGGCAACAAAACCAAAACTGTCTCAAAAAAAAAAAAAAAAAAAAAAAAAAAAAAGAAAGAAAGAGAAAGAAAGAAAGATCTAGGTGTTAAATAAGGCTGAAAAGGATAGGAAAAGAACTCCAAGAAGAAGTGTTTGGAAGGGTTACTGTAGCAAGAACAGGTATCTCTTGAACAGGGGATTAAAGAAGGAACTGGAAACTATGTCATTATGCTATTTTCCTTTCCAGATTAGCATAATGCCTTCCTCTTCTCCCCTTTCCCTTCTCTTGATGCAGTCAAATTCTTTATCATGGTTACCAGAAAGGGATTTGGCATTGGGTGTACAGCTAGAGGTAGAAGATCATGCAGATAAGACCAACAGGTCCCTCCATTCCCCACCAATGGCCTGCCTGTGCCGTTTCACTTCACCCATCTCTATAGTGCTTGCTGTGCTGGGGTGCCATTACGTCTCCAGTTAAATAAATCTGAAACCACTGACCCAGGATTTTCATAGCAGTGCTGCAGCCTTAGATTAGGAAATGCAACAAACAGTCCATTAGCACTGATTGGATATGGATTTTTGGCCTGGCCACCTGCCACTTGATAATTTTAGAATAGGGTCACTTTCGGAATTGGAAGATTCCTTGTAGGAGGGGACTGGTATTTGGTAAATAGTTGTATCTTACTGTCATGCCCTTTCACAGCCAAGCTCTCTACCTCTGGAGTGAGGGGCCGGTCTTGTGGCCTGCCTGGCAGAAAGGGCTAGAGCTCCTTCTTCATCAGCTTCCAGGGCTGCAGACGTGGCCATTTCCAAACACCCAGGGTGCACTTAACCACTTCCTCCTCCTAATCTCAGCATTTCCACTCTTAACACATCAGCAGCTTTGTAACTAACTTTTTTTTTTTTTTTCTGGCCGTGTTTTGGTCCTTCAGGTATTTGGGGGAGAAAGATGGGTAGACTGGCTAACTGTGATATCAGCTGATTTCAGAATGATACAATTACACCCTGAGTCACTGCCTCTGGAGAGTAATTTAAGCGAGGGTGCCAGGAGCATTGTGAAGGGCTCTCGTTGTTTTCACATGTCAGTGACTGCCTGCCTTGGTTTTGCCAGCTGCAAAATGGAGAAACTAAGTCCTCTTTTGCCTTGAGAATGCTAAAAGGTGAATACTTAGGTATGGTGGGGAAGTTTCTAAGGAGACCCAGACCCCAGATGATGCTCTAAGAGTGCTGTGTGACCTGAAGAGGAGGGGCCTCTGGTTAGAACGTTTTTTTCACTCACCAGCAGAAAATAATTATACCCAGTTGGTGGAATAGGAGAACTGTTGGTCTGGGGCCCTGAGATCTGACCATGATGTTCCCCGTTGGAATAAATTTTGGCCAGTATTTCCTTTTCTCTATGCCATGAAATCTTTTGTGTTGCCTTTTTCTGGACATGAACAGGGTACTGACTTTGGCTTCTGATAAGGAGCATATCCTAAAGAGAATCTGTCCCAGAGGACTTAAGGGTTCCCTCAGTCTTTGCCACTCTGGTTACACTATTTTTGAGCTGAAGAGGAAAATCAGACATCGGATGTTCATCTTCGTGTTATGAGCTGTTACCCCCAGCTGTCATAACCCTGTGTCTTGTTTCCTGGTTGTCTGCCTAAGGCCGTATTTACATAGAGTTTGTCATCTTGCCTGAGTGTGGTCAGTATCCCTTTCACCCTCGGTTTACAGCTAGACCTCGAACATTTTGACCCAGCCATGTCTTTTCCCCAGAGTGTTTCAAAGGACAGGCCTGTGCCCTAGATGCCATGATCTTTGTTATTTTCAAGTACAAAGCAAGATAGTTTTCCTTAACATGCTGCCTGTCTGTATTTTCTTGGAATGTCAGCCAGGGAGTGAGTTTAGTAAGGTATAGCTAGAGATTGCCCTTGAAGCTTTTGATTCTTGCTTTCCTGTCCAGAATTATAGTCATTGACTATAGTCAGTTATAGCCTATCCCAACACCACTAATGTATGGCAACTTCAAAAATTCATGAGGCCTTGGGATCCACAGCACCTCTCAGTAATCTAGCCTTTCATCAAGAGAAGTCATATGACTCCACCTGCCTTGTAGCCCTGCTGGAGCATTGCCAGCATGTGAGGTGCAGAGGGGCCACTGAGACTACCCTCCATGGCCAGCCCTTCAGCCCTCCCAGGTGTGAGAAAGGGCTCTTTTTGCCACACTCACATGTACTGCCATGCATGCCTAACACCCAGTGGCTGGAAGACTACCTCTAGGAAAATACAGCAGCCTTACACTGCCCAGACATTCTTTCATCTGTCCTTCCTCTTTCATTCTTTCACCCACCCCCTTGTGTTTCTGTAATTTGTACAGTATCGTTGAAAGGTGTTGAAGAGATCAATAGCAATTCACCTTTTCCCTTATTGATTCAAGTGACGGCAAGAAAAAATGGCAGGCAGTACCAATTCATTTGTCATGAGCTATCCATTTCCTACCAAGCCACCAGTGACCTCTCCCAATGCCTGTTATGTTGCTGATTTGCAGTTGGGATTATTTCTTTTTCCAGGCTGCTTTAGTAGCAATGAGAGAATCACTGTGTTTGACTTCTGTAATCAAAGCTGGGTGAAGAAGGAGACTGCAGGTACTGAACAGGAAAACTGCTGTGGAGCCTGGTCTCCAGCTCTGTGGCTTTGAGGAGCTCCCCACCTGTGCCGGGCTCTCAAACAGAGGCAATACGGCATCAGCTGATGGAGTTGCTGTCTCCCCCAGCACTTTCCAAGTCCCCACCCCCAGCCCCCAACCTTTTTCTAAAGGACACAGCCTTCCTTTATTATCTGTTTTTCCACAGAATGTAAATTGAGTGTGTTGAGTGAAAAGTCCATGACCCCTGTGAACTGGCTTTGCTTTTGCTGAAGGTGCAAAGGTTTGCCATTCCTTTCATGAACCTTCAGGTGGTAATTTCATTTCACCCTGGGAGAATATGAGGTGCCCAGGGGTCCGGCTTTAGCAGGGCTGTGGGTGAAGGAAGGGCTCTTGTTCTTAGAGGGTTTTGCACCCACCAGGGATGCAGAGTGGAGACAGTTCTTCTCACCTTTTTCTGCCCCAAAGAAACAAGCATGGGGAGGGGTAGAGAGAGGGGTGTGTGTGTTTGTCTGTGTGTTTTGATCAGTCTCACTGGGAACAGTCTCTTAACTCTCACTTGGGAAAGGTAATGGGTGTGTGTGTGTGTGTGTGTGTATGTGCACATGTGCGCGTGTGTGTTTTGATCAGCCTCACTGGGAACAGTCTCTTAACTCTCACTTGGGAAAGGTAATGGGGGAATCCTCCCTATACTTCCAGAATAGGACATTTAGCTGCCACACACTTAGGTGCACATTTTAAAAACGGTTCATTGCAAATGGCAAATACATATTAAGTTCACTCACCTGGTGGGAGGACCAGGGTTCTTTGAATCCCAGCACTCTTAGGAGGGAAGCTGGCACTGACTACAAAGCCAAAGCTTGGTTAACCCAGCTGCTGCTTCTCCTTTATGTACCATATTTTAAAGGTTGTTGGTTCTTACACAGAAGCAACTATTGTCCCCCATGCCCAGTGTGGTCTCAACCCCCAGGCCCTCTCATCTCCCATTAGTGCTGACGTTTGCTGCTATGGCATAAATGAGCCAATTTGCAGAAACTCCTGCCTGTGTAGACTTTTGGCAGAGAGGCAGCATTTGGAGGGCTACCTGGAAGAGAACCTTGCTCAGCCACTTACCTGAGCGGGCAGTTCCCAGAGCTGGTTGTTGCCAGCCTGGAGGTCGCAGTCTTTGTGTCAGCCCAAGCACCCAGCCAGCCTTCTCCAGAGTAGCACTGCCATCTCAGTCATGTTTCCTGAACACCGAGTGGGTTGAGGTCACTGTTTTGGATGCCCCTCTCCCAGTGGGGAGATTTCGCTAGAAACCCAGTGTCGCTGTGTCAGGTAGCTCTGCAGTCTGCGGATGCCAGGCCTGGAGAAGGCAGCCAGCTCTCTGTGAAGCTGGTTAATTACATGTGAAGCTGCCAGCAGGACGATTGTTTTTTTCCCATGGATCATTAATAAAGCATTCTGGCCTGACAATTCCATCATCTTCCTCAGCTTTGTCGGACAGATCTTCCTCCTTTTTAGTGTAAAGCTTTAAAAATGGCTGGGAGTGGCGAGAGGGAGGGAAGAGAATAATCTACTTCCGTTTATTGCACGTTTTTCCCTAAGCTGGAAAGTGGACCCCTGCTTTCAGATCATCTTGGCAGCCAGGATACAAAGGGTTCAAGGCTTGCCATGGGTGGGAAATGGCTTGGCTCCTAATATTTGCAGCAAACTACAGACCAGGCCTGATTTGGAAACGAGGCAACGAGTGCAGCAGATGGCAAATAGTCCTGCTCCACTGGGGCTCGAGATGCGCACCATCTTCTTCCTCCAGCCAAGGCAGCCTCATCCCTGCTATGCCTGAGTGCAGAAAACATTTCTGGCTTTTTAGAAACTCCTTTTTTAGGCAAAGATGGAAGAAGGCAAAGCAAATATAATATGGGAAACTCAATCTAGTTATAGACGTTTTCTTGTCAAACAAACTAAAATAGAGCTTTTCCTTTGCTGGTTAGAAAAATTTAGGAATGGAAATCAACAATTCTCCAAACAGCATTAAGTGCAAAGATAAAAACCAAATTATTAATAGAAGTGAGTATGACCCATTCAGTTTCCAAGGACTTGAGCATACAACCCTCATAATACTGAATTATATAGCCTTTCATAGATATAAGGGCTCTAGAGGTTATATAGTCCAATCCAAACATTTCACAGTAAATGAGAAAACTGAGGCATGAAGAAGTTCATCACTTGGGCACATTCACACGGTAAATTCATGGTGGAGCTAAAGTCTCCACATTCCTGTTGTATTGCTCTTACCTTTATCCCCACAGTGCCTCCCAGACAACGGCCTCATCATCCACCTGAAGTACAAGTAATAATTTGAGAATATGACAGTGGCATATAAAAGGGAGTAGGTGATGTGATGGAGGCAGACAGAGAGGTAAGGAAGTGCATTCTCTTTATATTATTTTAGTGAGATAGGGATGAGGGCCTAAGTCAGAGAAGTCATCCGGGGCCTTGGCCTTCTGTAAGGAATCTCCTAGACAGGGGTGCAAAGATAACCACACACAGATTGAGAAAGCATTCCGGGGGAGGAGGAGTACAGGTGTCTGACAGACCTGGAATTTTCCATTGCTTTTCCTCATATGTAGTTGTAGAAAAGCTGCTGTCTATTTGTGCCAAATCTAAGCTTCAGATAAGCCCAGAGGAAACCAAGGAGTGCTAAACTATCGTAAGTTGGGGCTTTTTCTTTTTTTAAGAGGGGAGTTGCATTGTTCAATTGAGAGAGTTATAGGGAGGTCATATTGCCCATCTGGGATTGCCCTCCAACTCCCTAGGGTACTCTAGTTCAAACACTCTGTTCTGGTCAAGTTGAGGCAGGGCACAGGGTGGGCCCATGAGTGCCATCCTTTCCCCGGTATCCTGTACTCCTGACCTGCTGCCTCTACTCTGCCACGAGGCTGATGCAGGAGCCAGGCTATGCTGTCAGGGTCTGGGGTCTCTCCCACCCTGTAGCAGAGGCTGGTTACCCTTCTTGTTAGCAGTGATGTCTGTTTGTCTTTTAAGGGGTTGTCAATTGGGGGAGGAACAAATCACATTTTCCAGCAATTTAATTTTATTAACTCTGATTTTTTCCCCTTTTCCAAAGCACAGCTAAATGGAGCTAAACATACACATGAGGGCTATATTTAGTCCTAATGGTGTGGTAGAGTAGAGAAGGCACAAACACAGAGGTTTATCTGCTACCTAGTAAACATGGGGAGGTGTCAGGACTGGAGAATTCAATAGTAATAATAAGCATTTTTATGGTACAATGACAGCTTTGATACAGGGCATAATTTTCTCAGGATTGCTATTAATTGTGCTTCTGCCTGTGAGCGGCCCCCTGGTGAGGGGCTTGGAACACCACACAAGTTAAGCTATATTAAACATCAATTAAAACAGCATAAAATAGAAACTGAATAAAATTTGCAAAGGTCGGAGTGGCTGTGAACATGCAAACAAGGCACTGGGGAAGAAAGGGTTAGGGCCTGGTGAGCCTGGTGCATGCTCCCAGATGCTATGAGCTTAGTAGGTTTGCTAGAGAATGAATTATGGGACCCTCTAGCTTTTCCAAGTTCAATTCTCCTCAAAGAGGTTTCAGAAACTGCTCATTGCAGGCAGCTAGAGATGAAAAGACAACCAGCTTCTACCAGTGCTGTCTAACACAACTTTTTATGTTGGTGGAAATATTCTTTATCTCTGCTGTCCAGTACAGTAGCCACATATGGATATTGAGCACTCGAGATACAGTTTATGCAACTGAGGAATAGAATCTTTATGAAATTTAAATAATTTTAATGTAAATAGCCACATGGGGCTAGTGGCCACCATATTGGACAACACAGGACTCTAGACAAGTCCCCTGCACACTGGGCACTCTGGCAATGTTAGGTTTGCATTGTGTTCTTCTGAAAAAGTCTGCACCTTCCCCCATGCCAGTAAATGTGTTTTCTCAGTAACTTTTTATTTATTTGACCCTTATCTTTCATGCTCTTGACACAAACTTCCTCATTTTTTCATAAGGGTCACACACAATGCCAAGAAATGAGAAAGGAGTTAATGGCCAGATCAAATCAGACAGCCTTGTCTTTATCCTTGCCTCCTTTTCTCCCGATAGCCCCTAGCCAATCTAATACCAAGTGTTTCCCACTCCCAGAGAAAAAAGGAGGGAATGGCTTTGGATCTCTGGCTGAAGATCACAGACTGCGGAGTCGTCACTGTTCCCACTGAACATCTGATTAAGTTGCTGAGTTTGACCCTTGAGTTTCCCAGAACTTGCAGGGATTGCAGAATCATCCAGGCAGCACACTCCTGACAGTCTTTAGTCCTTTTGGCATCTGAACTGAAAATCTCTTTTCCCATAGCTCTTTTAACACTTGTTGAATGCTTATAATGAATCCATTCATTAGGATGACACAGTATAGGAGAACAAAGCACTACACCTGTAATCAGAAATCCCATGTTTAAGTCCTGACTCTTCCATTTACTGTCTCTGTGACCTTGACAAAATCATTTCACCTCCCTGAGGCTTCATCTTCCCCAATAAAAATGAGTGTATTGGACTAAATGACCTGTGGGTGCTAAGAAGAAAAGAGTGCCAGAGAAAGAGGCCCTTATTGTGAAGCCCTGTGCTTCCACAGAGTCTCCCCCTTCTGATGTCAGCTTGCATTTAAAGCAGCGCTTTCCTGAGGCCACTGAGACACTTCCAGCAAGTCTGGTTACCATTCACCCCACCCACCGGTTGCTGTCCAGCACCACAGACATACCCTGAGCCAGACAGCATGGCATACTGCCTCTGGTGGTTATTATGCATATATGAACCTCAGAGAAGTCAAGACCAGTCCCCTATTACTTTGGGTTATCCTCAAAGATGCCAAGAGGGCAAGAGGCTTCTTGGCTTGGGCACTGGGTCCATAAAGCAAGAGGGGCTTTGGAGTTACCTGACGTGTGCAGATCTCCATGCTGGCTTGATGGCTGTTGCCAGCCTTCCTCCATCCAGCAATAGCTAGTCACTGCTCCAAGGATTGTCCCCAGCCGCCCAGAGCCCCTGTGGCGCCGCCAACACTGCACAGCTCACAAAGCGCCCTGTAGCATCTCTAATTGAGGAGCTGGTATGCGGACGCCCTCAGCAGAGGTATTTTTAGCTGCAGTGATACAGCCTCATCTTTTTGCAGGACGTTTTGTTTAGTTATTTTTTTAATGAAATAAATAAGTAAAATTGAAGACTGTGGTACTTATATCCCAGTGCCAATACCCAAGAAGTTTTGGCATGCACCCCTCCCCCCCGCCCCCCACCAAACACATACACCACAGGCCTATATAATTAATCCTCTCCAAGACCAGGTGCTGAGGCTCAGAGTTTGCCAGAATATTAGGCCAGAGAGACAGTATGTACAGAAGCAAGAAGAGCTAGAAATAGAGTGGAGGAATGATGCAGACTGGCCCAGAGCAAAGGTGCTTACGGGCCCTGTGAGCCGCCCAGGCAGCTGGGAACTACCCTAGTTCCTGGCCTTTCAGACCTTTGATGGATTTGGTGGATCAAGTGAGTGGGCCTCAACTCCTGGAGAGAGAGTTTCCTTGTAGTATACAAAGGATTCAGTTCTATGCCTTACTGACATTTTAATGCTTTTGTTTTCCTTCTTTTCATCCTGTCTGTGGCATGTCACGTTTTCCTTGGTTCTTTTATTGTGTAACATGTGATCAGGGACTAGAGGACATTCGCAGAGTTTGTTTCAGATCAGAGAGCAGGACCAGGGTAGTGGCTCTCACCGCTGGCTGCACACTGGAATCATGGGGTAGGAAGGCTTAGGAAAGCTACTAATGCCTGGACTTTCCTCCAAAGAGTCTGGCTTCATCAAGCACCAGCTCTTTAACTTCCCCAGATATATTAGCTGATACCAAGGAATAACTTTGACAATTTTGGTAGGCATGATAATGGCATTGTGATTATGTAAGAAAATGAACATTTTTTTTAGAGATGCATACTGAAGTATTTAAGGTTGAAAATGGCATCATGTCTGGGATATACTTTAAAATGCTTCCACAAAGAAAAAGGGGATAGAGACAAAGCAAATATAACTTTGGTAATTGTTGGATCTGAATGGTAGTTATATGGAAGTTCATTACTATCCTATTTTCAGTATTTTGAATTTTTCATACTAGAATCAGTTTTAAATTGTATATAAATACATATATACACACACATATATACATATATATGTATATATTTTAATGTTGAAGCTCCCCAGGCAATTTTAATGTAGAATTAAGATTGAGAACCACGAGTTTAGGCGATTAAATTTGGATCGCCATCCCCTAAAAGATATGTTTTGTCTTTGGACTTTGTCTAACCTAAGCCTGATCTTTCTGGATACGCTTTCATGAGTAATCTGGACTCTTGGTAGGTGGGGGACAAGATGGCACAAAGATCAGATTAGACCTGTATCTGGAATCTCACTTCAGGAACGGACAACCAGACAACATTGTCTCTTCCACTGGATGGCCTCACTGTAACCACCCTGAGAGCTATTATACCTTGGAGTTTACCTGCCTCGTGACTTGCCAGCGCTGCATGTCCCATCCTATGGACTTCTCTGGCTACACCAGGGCAATGGAAGACAACTGCAGCTGCACTGTGACACATGCCACAAGAGAGCCCCAGTCCCTTAGGATGCTTAGCAGTTTACCAAGTGGTATTTGCCTAAAGCTAGGGCAGGAGGACTGAAACCTATACCACCCCCCCCCATTCCCAGGAGTGCGCATGCCCCAGCTCTGCGTGCATATGTATATGAGGCCGCTTTTGTGTCCTCAGTGTCTATTTCGACTCCCAAGCACTATTTTGCTCTGGCTGCTCAGCAAGTGGGACGAACAGCAGCTTGCTGCAGCCAACCTAAATGGAGCTCTGGAACTCAGGCTGGAAGCTTCCATGCTACATTTACATACCATATCCTTGCTTAGTACCCTGGCTGAGCACCTCTTCATTCAGGGGCAAGCTGCTAGCTCTTCTTTATTGGGGGGGGGTTGTGATTTACACCTAAGCGTTAAGCTATTAATAGTTTATGTTTTGCTAAGCCATACTAAAGCAGAGGGAAGAGCTATGGACTGCCCAGGTCACCCAGCCAGCCCAGAGGTTCATGTGGCAGCCCTCCTTCCCATTCCCCGGGACCCCTGAGGCAGCCCTTTCAGCCAGTGCCTGCCAGTGCACAGTTCACCCCCTGCACCTCTGTAGGAGGGCAGCGCATCTCTGTTTTCCTTACACAGTCAGAGTCAGCATTGATCCCACACTGTCCAGTGTTACATCCAGATTCCAAATAGGGGAGTTGCTTCCTCAGCCCAGTCCTAAGAACAAGCCTACTGTGTGGCCTCATCTGTGTTTCTTCACAGGACTCTGGACAGGAGGAGGCAGGGAATTTCTCTGACTGGCTCGCTCTCCAGAGTGCTCCCCCTACCCTCCACTGTCCCACTCTTAGACCACATTGTCATTTCCACCCAAGTGCTCAGTGCCTTGAGGGCAAGGACCAAGTCTTTCATCTCCATTGTTCCCCAGCAGCTGGCAGAGTGCCGATCACTGTCCTGGTTCTAAATAAGCAAACTAATGAATACGTGAATCACAGAAGGGCTATGGCAGGGAATGCCCCTACACTAAGGGTCGGAATCCACACACTTAAAAGTTAGTTTCTCAGTCATTTGGGATTATGAACCTAAACTGTGAGATGATATACAGCAGCAGTCCCCAACCTTTTTGGCACTAGGGCATGGTTTTGTGGAAGACAGTTTTTCCATGGATTGGTTGGGGTAGGGCATGAAACTGTTCCACCTCAGATCCTCAGGCATTAGATTCACATAAGGAGCACACAACCTAGCTCCCTCCCATGTGCAGTTCACTATATGGTTTGAGCTCCTATGAGAATCTAATGTCACTGCTGCTGATCTGACACGAGGTGGAGCTCTGGCAGTAGGGCTCCCCACCCACTGCTCTAATCCACAGGCAGGGCTCTGGATCAGGGGAGACCCCTGCTCTAGATACTCTTCCTACTTGCCTTGGCATAAAGGGTAATCTTTTTGTGTCTTGGTTTCTCCCACTTGATTTTCACAGGTCTCTGAGCAGTCTGTTCTCTCTCCTTCCTTGCCTGCGGCTCTGCAGAGAGTGAACTCCTAGGAGGGGTTCCCTTTGTTTTTCCATGGCAATCAGTCTGTTAACACCTGGCCAGTTCTTTTGGAAGTTACTCCTCCTGAATCTGAATGAAACCCCAGGAACAGTCACTCAGGTTAAGCAAAACCATGTACAACAAGTACTTCTGGAGTCAGTGGCACTACTGTCCTGTCTATCAGAAACCTGTCTGATCAGTAATTCTTGTCTCCCTTTTGAGTCTAGAGGCTCTCATCCTGAGTATACCTTTTAATCTCCTAGATGGTTTTTTTTAAAGCATTGAAGAAGTCCCGTCACCAACCCTAGAGATGGCACTGTATTTGATACACCATCTAGATTTCATCTACACTGGTATTTTTAACAGCAATAGTGCTGATAATGTGCGCCTGTCGCTGAGATGCATTGTCTCCAAGAGTCCTCACTAGGAGCTGGAGTAGCACTTGTCCTCCCTGAGCAATCTACTGCTGGCCTCCCTTTCTGGAAGGCAGGCGGGCGGGAGAGCAGAGCACCTGTGTCATCCTCCTCAGCTAGATCTGAGATGGGACTCCCATATTGCACAGTTGGTGATGCAACTTCCCACCCACCCACATGCCCGCACACAAAGCCCACTGCTGCTTCACCTTGGGCACATCTGTGGAGGGGAGATAGATATATCTGTGGATTAAGATTCAGTTTTGCTTTGGCGGGCAGCTGTGAGGGAGAACAGTCCACAGCTGTGTCTGCAGTTTGTTACCAGAGATGAAGATTTTTTTAAAAAATTTTAAAAATTCTAGCTCAAGGAATGCTTTCCTGTATCCATCCCACCAGCTCCCAAGCATCACATCCCACCCATTGGTAGCAGAAGAGCCTGCCTTAGCAGAGAGAGGCAAGGCCAGACACCAGTTGAAATCCCAGACAGCTTCCTACCCTCCCTCTATATCTTGTCAGATATTTCAAGCTTTTAAGTCCTTATTCGTGCTCTGCCTACTTGGCTGGCTGTTCTTGCACTTGAGCGGCTTGTTTGCCTGGACAGGTCCAAGCTGTCTGAGCCATCAGCAGCTGCACCTCCTCCCTCGCGCCTTCTGTCTGAGCCAACCTTGATTCACAGAAGTGCAGATGGCCCCAGCCATACCCAGCAACGTCTGCCACTCCCATCCCCTCTCCTGCCCTGCTTTCCCAAGATGAAGGGGCTGGGCCAGGCCTTGCCTGCAGGTCAACCTGGGCCTAAGATGAAGACCACTCTTCGTTCATGTTCTGGCATATTAATCAGGGTGACATGATAAAAAGAATTGATCTGAAACTCATAGGAGAACAGGGCAAGGTTTAAGTTTATATTTTGCAGAAAACACTTTCCAGCCTTCATCAGAGCTAATCAGTTTTTGCAAATGGCCTTAATACCACCCACTTTGCTCCGTAAGCATTTTTAGGAGCTGAGAGTCAAAAAAAAGCGGGTGTGAGAAATCACCTTTCTTCCTTTTCCTACCCTTACCTTATTTTAATATAGATTTTGGCAACCTTTCAAAGTGCCAGTGCTCAGTTTTTCAGTCTGGTTCAAGGTGCTTAATAGTGCCCTGTAATATACCAGTATAATCAATTAGTTTCCCTTCTCCTTGTCCCTTTCCAACAGAAATGAAAGATTGGTAACAAGTATGAGAGGGGTCATGGGTGACCTTGTTCAGGAGAGAGATATGGCTGCAGCAGCCCCAGGGCACCACTCTGCCTTTCCCCATTGCTGACTTATTGCTGAGCAGCAGAAATTTGGAGCTGCACAAGAATCAGATGTCCCACCTAGCAGGCTCTGCCAGAGCAACACATAGCCATCCACTCTGGCAGCAGACTACAGAAGGGAGAGAATCCTGGAGCAGCAGTCTACCATGCTGCCCACTTTAGATAGGGCCATGCAATGTAAATACATCATTTGTATTTACATTTGGGTCATCTGCAAACCGAAGGGATCCCAGGAGCTGTGGGAATACCATTGGTACAGCCATACCAACATTTATATTATTCACCCTCATGCCTACATTGCTATTACTGACATTATTTTAAGGCTTTTTCTCCCTTAGAGAAAGCTCTTCCAGTCCTAGGCTGCTTAAATCAGGAGGAACTTCTTTTATTTTATTTTTTAAGGAATAGGGTCTTGCTACATTGCCCAGGCTGTTCTCAAACTCTTAGACTCAAGAGTTCTTCCCTCCTCAGCCTCCCTAGTAGCTAGGACTACAGATGTGCACCACCCTGCCCAACAAACCTTTTTTTTTTTTTTAATTGAGGAACATTAGGATTAAGATATATTATGGGCTCTATACAACTTGGGGTGTTTTCTTCAGGATAAGGATATTTTAAACTAAAGAACAATAAAATACTAACTAAGAGGCCTGAAGAGGCATCAGTTTCTGTCTCTAGAATCTGCAGCCAGTCATTTGGTGAGCTCGCATGCTGGAGTGGGCATGGGGCCATGTGGGTGGCAGAAAATCAAAGGGTCTTATTCCACTGAAATGTCATGGCTACCTCAGCCTACGGCTGGTGTCTTCCCTCTTCTCTCCAATTTGATAGGGAAGAAAGATCCTTTACCAAAGGGTAGAACACTCAGGAACCTTTTTCTTTCTCTCAAGTCACATAATAGATCTCACCAAAGAAGTCAATTTCTTTTTCTTCATAACTGCCCCTACCCTCCTTATGTAGAATTATATGTCTTTATCTCTTCCTGTTACAATTGTTACTTAACCTCTTAACCACGGGAAACTTGCTTCCTTGGATCCATTATTTTCTTGTG